GGTCAAATAGTAAATCACTATCACCACATAGAATCAACCCTTTTACCATTTCTGTACATGCAAAGCACTGAGCAGTTTCTCTGCTTTTTTTAGAGCATCACTCTTTGAAAATTTGAGAGAAAATAGCTGAATACTAAACTATGGGCTAGTGACAGTTTAAATATATTTCAATAAAAATTCCAGTGCTTAAAACACATACATGGCATCCAAATCATTCTTACTGAAATATTACTGGATATAGCACATGGATCATTTAATTATTAGATTATGAGACATTCACAAAACTATTTGTCCTTGCTGTTAAAGTTATAGTTCTTTACCATGCATAGCCTCTTTACCAAGCCTAAACACTTTCTGAAATAAATGAGTTCTAGTCTTCACCTCAGCGATGATGCCCACAGTTCCAGAGCGCCCACATCCAGAGACTAGCTGGAATCAAAGTGCTTCTCTGTCATACAGACATGAAAAGCTCCAGTAGCAGATGTTAGCTGCGATGGAGACATGTATGTGATGCGTAAATATGGGTGAGCAACTCATGAAATGCTGAAATTACATAGTTGCAGAGAGTCAGAAAAATCATATTTATCAGAAAATACTAGTATATTGGGTTAAATTAAGTTTCCAAATTGATTTAGCTGTAAAGTAGTATCCTTGGCAAAGGTCATTCATGTGATTTGCTCCATGCAGCTAGCACTGACAATCTGATTGCAAAATGAGCCTTCTCCTGCTATGTACATGTCCTGGTTCGTGGGCAGTAAGTACCGTAATTTCTATGTAAGCTATGCGTTGCAAAGGGATGCCAACATAACATTACCCAGTTGCCATTTCTCCCACTCTTTTATACAGAGGGTTTCAAGATTAGATATTTGAAAACAAAGACAGAAGTGTTCTAGGTACATTTTTATCTTCCAGGGAAAGAAGGCAAACAAAGAAATTGGCACAGCTCTGAGAACCACCACAAAATTTAGGCACCTGGTGCGTAACTATTAGTAAGATATGATTGCACTGTAGGTCTTTATTACTTAACAGACAGCTCTTATTTCCCATATTCAGTAATGCTGAAGTTGAAGCACAACCCTAAGGGGTTGTGTGTACTGATCTTTTTGTAGGCATGGGAAGACATGTATGTAGTTTTACCAGGTGGGCAACACCCCTTTCTGAACAACACCAAATATGACAAGAAGCTGAAGAGCTGGATACAAACACTAATTGTATATCAATATAGAATTTATAAATATTAGAAGATGCTCTTCATCTCTGCTCCACTATAGAGTTTTGTTTTCTTTGTTTTTGCAAGTTTAATTTTTAAAAGCATCTCCAGCAGGTTGAGGGAGGTGATCCTGCCGCTCTACTCAGCCCTGGTGAGGCCACATCTGGAGTACTGTGTCCAGTTCTGGGCTCCACAGAGGGATGTGGAACTGCTGGAGAGAGTCCAGTGCAGGCTACGAGGATGATCAGGGGCCTGGAACATCTGCCCTATGAGGAAAGACTGAGAGAGCTGGGCCTGTTCAGCCTGGAGAAGAGAAGGCTGAGAGGGGATCTAATCAGTGTATATAAGTACCTCAAGGGAGGCAGTGAGGAGGATGGTGCTGGTCTCTTTTCAGTGGTGGCCACTGACAGAACTAGAGGTAATGGCCACAAACTGAAACACCGAAAGTTCCACAGGAACTTAAGGAAAAAATGGTAACAGTGAGGGTGACAGAGCACTGGAACAGGCTGCCCAGAGAGGTTGTGGAGTCTCCTTCTCCAGAGATCTTCAAAACCCCCCTGGATACCGTCCTGTGCCCCGTGCTCTAGTGACCCTGCATGGAGTTGAACTAGATGACCTCTAGAGGTCCCTTCCAACCTTAAGCATTCTATGATTCTATGATTCTATGAATTGTTCCATCTGCCCATTTTCATGTATAATATGCTTTATATTACAGCTTTTAGCTTATTTTAGAATGAAATTAATTTTTTAGTTCCTCTTGTTGTTAGAGTAACTAGAATTCGCCGTTTTGTTGATCTCACTGATAAAGTTAGGAATATAACACTAATATTGCATAGTGTTTTCTGATTGTATGGTAAAGATCCATCCTTTTATTTATCCTGGAGTATTCTGGGTATCTATTTCTGATTGTCTAAATATAAAGAGATAAAGTGGGAAGAGGCTGCTAAACTCCACTGTGTAACAAGTAAAACAAATCAAGGGAAAAATGTTAATGATTTTTCTCCTTCCTTTTACATTGATGTCTATGTTTTGTCCTTAGCCAGAAGACACGAACATCATTTCCTCTCTCTAAATTAGCTTGCAAGTGATACAAAAATGTAATATGACAGCCCTCATAGCTTTCTTAACAAAAGGTTTTGTTCCTAACTTTGAGAAATTTAAGAATCCTGACTTAATCTCAGAGCTGTTAAAACACCACTTTCCTGAGCCAGTGGATGTATATACTGCAGTATATATTGGTATATATTGCATCAGTAAGTCTTTTCTACATTTTTCTACATATTTATGATGGAAATTTAGAATGGCTTACAACAAGAAATGTTTTTGAAGTGATGAAACTAGATTTTTTTTTCTGAGATAGCATAGTATTCATTTTCCTATCTCATAAAACATCAAGATCTGTTTGAACTAAAGGAGTAGTTGCCTTGTGGATTTTAATACTACTGTCAGCCTCCCTCAAAAATGCTTCACAAAACTAACTCAAGTATTTGTCAGCTGGCTTGAATCTCGGTTGCATTGCAGTGTGCTGTCCTGAGGCTTTACAAGCTTTGCAGTGTGACAGTTGCAAGTTAAACAGGGGCCTAGTTGCTTCCTAGGGCAGCTGGGATGGCCACAAACAAGCATTAGAGCATCAGTATTAGGGAAAGTCTTTCTTGCTTTCTGGGGGAAGAGGAAGATTGTCCAAAAATGAGCCCAGTATCTCTCACTGATTGTTTTCTAATAGAAACATATGGAACTTTGCTGTTTGTTGCTTATATGTAAATACTGTTGTTACCTTAAAGTTTTAAGGACGATCAAAAGTGATATCCAATAGCAAAATTTCCTTTCTAGGGAAAGTATCCTGGTTAGATTTGTAGATGGTACATAACACAGATGGTTGTCCAGGCAGGATCTTAATGTTAGAATTGTTTAGGGTAATCTGGTAACTTTGTGACATTACAAAACCAGCAGAGACTCTCTGGACATTCTTCAAACATCTTCTGTTAAACAGTTGACCTTGAGTGTTAAGGGAAGTGTCACTGTAGAACAGAAGTCATGTTATGTTGGGAGACCAGGCAAATGTCTTGTGCAATCTTGGGGAAGTGATTTGTTAATGTATCAGCACTGCATTTCCAAGGTACAATTATGCCTTGTTTCATCATACTCAAATTTCCTTTAACGTGACTGGCCCGTACACTGTATTACTGCTGCAGTACAGCTGCAGAATAGGCTCAGTGTTTTGGGGGAACTAGTCAAGTACGTCCCTGGGATTTCCTGGCTGACAGCCCCCAAAGTAGCTGATTTGGTGATACATCAAGTCTGAAAGAATCTAAATTTAAAAATGGAAGATCTTGCATTGCTGGTAGTGTCATCACAGTCCATTAAATTCAATTCAGCACGAGTGGGAGCAGCCTAAGAAGCTAGGAAAATACACAGGTCATTTGTTCACAGTAAACTCCATGGTTAGCAGCAAGCTGCATTTTAGTTCATTAGCTTAAAGTGAGCTCAAGTGTTATCTCTGTGAGCTGCAATGTGAACACACTGGCTCACAAGCCTATAGCTGCTGTGCAGTTACTGTCTTCAAGTGCATCTATAAAATGGTAGTGATTCCATGTCTTATAGGAGAGCAGTGTCAAGCAACTGTGAAATGGAGGGAATGGGAATAAGCTAATACTGATAGAAACTATATAGATCCCTGAAGCTATATAGCAATACAGGGCAATGTATTTTTCCCCATTCATTTGAGTGAGACATGTTAATGAGCAGGTGTTTCTGCATCAAACTGCCTACCAATGTAATGAGACTAAGGCAGGGATTTTCTGGTGAGCAGCTCATCTGTGCCTGAATGCGTCCTGAATTAGATTTAAAAATCTGTTTGTGACAGAGGAGACAAATGACCATCTTGTATTTAAAACTCCAACTATCCCATTAGATTAACTTTTCTTACACACATGTAATCATGCAGAACACATACCTGAAAATATCTGAGTCAGCGCTTTGAAAATTATCTCATAGTAAAAAAAGTCCTCTCTAGAAGATCTGGGAGTAAGAGATCTGGAATAAAACTAGGAGTGTTTGGCTACTGATTTTCAGTAGGTCAGTTACAGTCATGTTGAGTCTTTATTGAACTCATGCTCGTGGGAATGAGTTAGAATGGCAAAATGAGTTTGAAATGAATGAAAAATGAGTTTGAAAACTCAGAGGCTGAATGCTCAATTCCATTAAGTTGCACATTTTGTGACAAGGTGAGACAGTCAGAGATTAAATACACTTTCTCCCAAATTCCATATGTAGTGATTCCAATTAATCATTTAACCTTTAAGCAGTAACATTGTAAAAAGAGAAGAAAGTGTGAAGAAAAAGAATCATCCTGTCATAGGGGAATGTGAGGATATGAAATGCTAATAGTGAAAATGGGAAATAAATGCTCTGCTGAGTAATAGAAGATTATGTGTGGTTTTTGTTTGGTAGATTAGGTGTATGTCAGGCGTTGGACAAAAGCCCAGAGGAGGGATTTGTAGATGGCATGTTGGACCTCTTCTTAGTTGTGGCACTGTCAAACTTCTGTATTCATTGACCTCTGGTGCTTACCTAGGTGCGGACTGCCCAGCAAATGAACTTTTTAGCCAGCTGTCGACATTTGTGTTTTTGGGGCCTTCCACATCTTCATCTCTTCTGTCTGTGTGCTGCTACTGCCAGCAGCTCTTAGCTTGATGCCCTCGCATCTTGCGCAGTACCATGCATCACACCCCTGGTAGTACTGTGATGTGCTGACTGACAAGGCCCTCTCTCCTCTCCTCTTCTCCTCCAGTTCCGCCTTGTCGTAAAGACAGCGCTGAAGCTGCTGCTGGTGTTTGTGGAGTACACGGAATTGAACGCACCCCTGCTAATCCAAGCAGTGTCTACAGTGGATGAAGAGAGAGGTGAGTAGCCTTATTTGGAGGGGACATGTGAAGTCTCAGCACCTCTGAGGTCAGGGAAGAGTTTAGTCATTGATTCCAGTGATGCTAGTGTTACTGTCATGACGCCTGTTTTGTGTCTCATACCCTTAATTTCTTAATTAAAAGCTTGTTTTAAATACTCAAGTAAGTTGAGATACTTCTGAGAAGAGTGAAAACTTGAATGGACCCAACCGCCTCCCTCTATACCGTAGTGATCATCTCTGCTTCCCTGCACCCCCAAGAACCCTACTCCCACTTTAGAGGCTCTCATAAGTTAGATTGTCTTTCCCTGCCTTCTGGAAAGCAGCAGTCTGACTTAGAAGGGAAAACGGTATCTAATCGGTGTAATCCCTTTGAAGAGAAAGACGAGGTCAGTAATAGTACAGGCTTTATAGTGAAAACAAAACCATCTGTTGTTACATTAAAATAAAGCCCTTGAGCAGATATTCTACTGTGAAACCTGTTACCCTGCAGGCTCATGCAAAACACTTGAATATGTATACTATGTTTTTTTTACAAGTAAATAGAACAAAAATGGCCCTTTCTTGTTCTTTCCGCAAAGCTCTTGCTAAGCTCCTGGGGCACTCACTCCTGATTTGATCCATCCCTTTGCCTCAAGGAGAGGTTTTGAGGTTGCAAGAGTTGCTGTTGTGGTCGCCAGCACAGGGGAGTTAAAAGCAAGATCCACTCCGCAGAGTGACAGCCTCCCTGCTGAATTTGTGGTGAAAGGTGGTGCCAGGAATTAGGAAGAAAATCCTTAAGCCTTGCAATGCCATAAGCAGAAATGTAATTACAATTTTCATATAATTGTGATTTTTGTAATTTATTTTTACGATCCTGAACACACGACCATGTGCACTGTGCCCTCCCTTCTGTAGCTGTAGAACAGTCTCAATCAGACACTACAGTACCCTAAAGTAATAAAACAGCTTCCTATCAACAAAGAAAATCTGGGGGCGGGGGAGAGGGGAAGGATACTTCAAGCTGGATAAGTGATTCCTAAGAGTAAGAGGGGAAGGCTTGCCATATCTTTGAGTTGTCAGCATGCCTCATGAGCTCTCCCAAATAAGTTATTCCCAAATACCCATTTTTATAAGCAATTATGCTTAGCTACAAAAGAATTATTTTTTCTTGTTCCATACTTATTTCTTTTTGTAGGCCATCAACAGAACACCCCTTTTTGCTATGGAAGTGCTATTTTTGTAAATTCCTTTTAGAAATTAGGGGTTTATAATTGAGGACTACCTGCCATTAATGACTGATTTAATGTAATAGAAATAAAGAGGAAGAAAAGTGATTTGCCTTTTCTTGAAATGTGGTCATAAATCTTGCAGGTATATAATTAAGTTTAGCGCTGCTTTGAAAAAAGTCCAATATTTCATATACATACAAGGTGATGAGATATGACATAATTCCTCAGCATGTGTACCACACATGATTAACATAAAGATCCCACTAATAACTCAACCCAGTTTCAAAGTAATCCCATCTGTGGTTTCCATGAAAAACCATATCTACAGGTAAACCAAAGTACAAAGATCCGTGGAAGTGCTTGCTCTGTTCTCTGATACAAGCAGCTCATAAGTGAATAACTGCATTGTCCTCATCAAATAAGTAGTAGCTTCTAGTTATGTTTCCATTTAGAATTTGCTTTCCACAACCACTCTGTTTTTTTCTTGTTCCACAGCCACAGAGGAATTTGATGTCTTTTTGGTGGAAGTGCATAGGGATAGTGGTTGGAGATCTAGGCAGCAGGGTTAGCTTTCTGTCAGATTCCCTGGGGCTATTTTATCACAAGCATTTGTGACTATGAAGATAAAAGGCCAGTGACTGAGTTTATGGATATCATTGCTGCTGCCCACTGCTGGTTGTACTATTTGTAAAGGGCCTGCCTTACCAATTGTCCACTTCTCCTTCCTCTTACCATCTGGTTAGATTGCTATGCTGATCCCTTAGGCAGGGTGCAAGGCTTTATGTTCACAAAGGTTTAAATAGCCAGGAATACAAGATTCATACCTCTTTCCAAAACTGAATATTAATGTTTCAGCATCCTATGACAGCTAGAAACAGGTGCTCCGTGAGTTAGAGTACAAACAGAGCCAATTTCTCTTTCCATCAGTCCCATTGGTCCTCACATGTGGTTGTAGTCTGGTCCCAGCTTTTCTGTGTTCAGGGCTCCATGTTTTTCATGCTCAGCCTTCCTATCAAAGTACTTGGGATAATAGCTAACAGTACTCGGGATAATAGCTAACATTGGGAAGCCTGTGAAACACAGTTGAGCAATTCTCCTTTCCAGTAGAAGGCAGGAGCACATGCAAAAAAAAAATCCCCAGCCTCTGATTCTTTCCTTCAGTGAGCCTATTTTAACACTCCGCTGATTTTTACCTCCATTCTGCATGGGAGTCATAACCATGACAGTCTGCACTCAGGAAAAAGAGGTGGGCTTCCACACTGGCAGGCTTTTACCACGTGGACAGGAGAGGATGATAGGCTGGAGGCTGAACTTTCTGAGGACCAGCGTGCATAAGTTTAGACTTAATTTTTAGAAACAAACTTTTTTACCATAGGAACGGACTTGTGTTTTTGTTAGAAATACATGCGCATTTAAAAATTCAGATTTACGTTCACATTTTTCAAAATTTGTAATATTCTGACTATTACAAGGATAATGGCAAGATGAAGCTTTTAAAAAGCTTGGGGTTACAGTTTCCTCAGAGGTCTGAAACCCATCTTTTATTGGAGAGCTTTAAGTATTTTCCACAATGCAAATATCTTTTTAAAGGAAGAGGGGAAAAATGCATCATCTTTTTCATATCCCTTTTATTAG